GACACCCTACGCCCTGCTGCCCTCCCTGCCTACTTTTTTATAAGCGTTTTTCCGCTCTTTATGCCGTATTCTATTAAAAGAGATGGACTGACCACACGACTCAAGGTCGGGGGGACGATTACCTCATTCTCCTGTTCTTCAAGTTTTCCTTTGATTGGATATAAGCCACTGTGTGCGAAACGTTTCCTCAGTAAAAATACCCAAGATTCACATGTTCTATTTAACAGAGTAGTTTGTAGTTGTAATACTTACTGTTAATATATTATATTTTTTGTATAGTTGATTTTTGTGTCCTTCCTTATAAATAATATTGATTAACTTTCCACATTTAATGTGAAGGTGCAAGCTGGCCCTTGAGGGGTTTTCCCTTTTTCAATGTTAAATAATATACATGCCTTTAGACATACCGGGATTTACCCTTTGGGAACCGGGATTTTTTATTTAAATTACTCAGTCAAAAATAAGCGTAACACTCGCCATGGGTTTCGGATCCCACCCGTACCATGGTTTGTTTGCAATCCTGTCATTAAATTTTCGTGAATAATGATCTATATGATTACAATGTCCTTTAATGTATTTTAGATGGTGTCATTTCCTTCTTAGCAGTTGTTTTCACCTGCACTTCTGTAATGTTTGCACCATTCTTTGTATTAATGTTTCGATGTGTTTGTAATACTCAAACGTATCAGTGTTGCACATGTGTCTGTTCGTCGAATCAGATTTGCCAAGGGATGGAAACTGCAAATTCCGGGCCGAGTCATTTAAGGTTTGAATATTGAAATGGTATAAAATACCGACAGGTTGTTAGGTAAACACATATGCAAAAGTTAGGTATCTTTATTTCGAAACGTTTCGCCCACTGATAATGAGGTAATACGTCAGCTCACGCTGACGTTTACCTCATTATCAAAACCAATACTGTTGATTGAGTGTGGACAGGGAAAAACCATTTCCCATGTATTTAATAAATTTAATTAGTTTCCCACTCTGTTCCCTTTAAAAAATCTTATACTGTAAGTTAGATTAACAGTTCAGTGTGGGTGTATTAAATGTGTTAATATAAATGTATAAAACTATTCAGGTTCAGGTACACATAAATATAGTCACATATATTATCATACAACAGTATGTGTGTAGATTACCTCACAGAACTCTTTTTTTAACTAAGCCATAAGAGGGATTGCAAAATAGAGAGGAGAGGGCTGGGTAGGATAGAGCAATGTAAAAGGGTTGTGGGTAGTCAGGAAGAGAGAGGTGAGAAAGGTTAAGTGCCTGACCACTTTGGGTAAGTTTTAAGGGAGTGATCCTGTCTTGTTGGGTTTCTTCGAGAGAAGTAAAGCATATGGCAAGGACTGTATGCACCAGGAAAGTAAATCTCTCGTGTATATAAACTCAAAGTTTACTTTGATTTCTCTTTTCTGGATTAAAGTATCCAAACTGATGGTAAAAAGTGAAATGAAGTCTCAAGGGGCCCTCGTGAAACCAATACATGATAGAAAAGGTTACAGATACCGAGAGGTGTATGTATTTCAATGTATACCTGGAGAGGTTTCGGGGTCAACGCCCCCACGGGCCGGTCTGTGGCTAGGCCTCATGGTGGATCAGGGCCTGATCAACCAGGCTGTTACTGTGGCTGCACATAAACCGACGTACGAACCACAGCCGGCTGATCAGGTACTGACTTTAGGTACCTGTCCATTTGCCTTCTTGAAGACAGCCGGGGGTCTATTGGTAATCTCCCTTATGTATGCGGGGAGGCAGTTGAAAGTCTTGGACCCCGACACTTATTTTGTTGTTTCTTATCGTGTAGTGGCACCCTGCTTTTCATTGGGAGGATGTTGCAATCGCCTGCCAAGTATTTTGCTTTCATAGGGAGTGATTTTCGTGTGCAGATTTGGTATTAACCCCTCTAGGATTTTCCAAGTGTATATAATAATGTATCTCTCCCGCCTGCATTCCAGGGAGTGCAGGTCAAGGAACTTTAACCATTCCCAGTAACTTGGGTGTTTTATCACACTTACGTGTGGCGGGAAACTTCTCTGTACATTTTCTAAGTCAGTAATTTCACCTGCCTTGAAAGACACTGTTAGAGTGCAGCAATATTCCAGCCCAGATAGAACAAGCGACCTGAAAAGTGTCATCATGGGCTTTGGCAACCCCTAGTTTGAAGGTTCTCATTATCCATCCTGTCATTTCTCTAGGAGATGCGATTGATACAATATTGTGGTCTTTGAAAGTGAGATCCTCCGACACTGTCACTCTCAGGGCCTTTACATTAGTTTTTCGCTCTATTGTGTGGTGTAATTTATTTTATGCTCCCATATAGTTTTAATTTCCTCACGTATTCACATCGAAGTAATTGAAATTTTTCTTCATTGAGATTCATATTGTTTTCTAGGCCCATTTAAAGATTTCGTTGATGTCCGTCTGGAGTCTTGCAGTGTCTTCATTGGAGGACACTGCCATGCAAATTCGGGTGTCATCTGCCAAAAGGGAAAACACGGGGCTGTGACTTAAAATCCCTGTCTATGTCAAATATGATAAGGAGGAACAGGATGCGGGGGATTACGTATCTTGTGGAACAGAGCTTTTCATAGCACCGCCTCAGACTTTACTCTTTTTTACTACTAGTTTTTGTGTTCTATTTGTTAGGAAATTATAGATTCATCTAAACCCTTTTCTCCTGTTATTCCTTTATCACTCATTTTGTGCGCTATTACATCATGGTCACACTTGTCAAAGGCTTTCACAAAGTCTGTGTATAATACATCTGCGTTTTGTTTGTCTTCTAGAGCATCCAGGACCTTGTCATAGTGGTCCAGTAGTTGGGACAGGCAGGAGGAACCTGCTCTAAACCCGTTTTTGCCCTGGGTTGTGTAACTGATGGGTAACTAGATGAGTGGCGATCTTTCTTCTTAGGACTCTTTCAAAGATTTTTATGATATGGGATGTTAGTGCTATCGGTCTGTAGTTCTTTGCTATTGCTTTACTGCCACCTTTGTGAGTGGGGCTAGTCTGGGTTGGGTTTTGCAGGTTGTGGGGTGACCCATGTGTCCATGCTTCCCCCTCCCCCTAGAATGTTAAAAGCACATGCGAAAGGTTGCTTTAATTCCTATCTTAGAGTATCATCGGTGGTATTTTCTCTTAATCCTAAAAAAAATGATTTATTTTCCTTGCATTAAAACCCTATTTAATGGTTAAGCTAGCATATCACAGTTTACAAAAATCTTACACATTTATAAAAGGGGATCATCTTACGTTACTAGCATACAAATACTGAAGTATTTTACAATACATATTAGTCAAAACATTCTCTGTTATCTGGTATTAACATATGTTCATTTGTTTAAACTAAAGTATTATCTTCCTTACCATATGCAACGACACTGGTTGACATATCGAGTACAAAAACTATCGTCGCCTTCAGCAGGTGCTGCTACGGATATTGGGTTGGTTCCCCAGGGCTCCCTAGACAATAAAAAGAAAGGAAAAGAAATTAATAACGTTACTCATAAAGAATAAGCTTTTACTGGGCGCAACATTTCGTTCTCTGAAGACCTTGATCATGTCAAGAAAATTATAAAATTCGGTACAAAATAAAATGTTGTCTTCATGAAAGTTTGTTCAGAAACGAGTAATTTTTTTCTTCACTATCGCGACTGTGATTCACTTGGACCCAACACTTACCAGTCTTATATATAACCAAGATACACCATAATATATATATATATATAATATATATATATGTGGTGGTGTGTGTGTGTG